ACGAGTGGGTCCGACCAGTCCCCATTAAACGTGCTCTCGGTCGGATCATAATTGCATATGAGACGAGATGAAATATTTTGACCGAATATAAACTCTATTTGCGGATCACGATTAAATCTTTTCATTTATTTTCACATATTAATATGAAACGCCAATACGTCTTCAAAAATATAGAACTCGTAAAGCAGCGTTGTTTTTTAATAAAATAAGTGATTTTCAGAATGTGGGTTAGGTGTTAGCAAGATTTTATGTTTAAATATTATGCTAACGTTAATGGTTTTTTTTTTAATGTATGATAAATAATTTTAAATAAATCAAAGCGAGAAATAAACGGTCGCACACCGGAAACGTCGGATTAAAGTTTTAAATAAATATCTGTAATCAATTATCGTTAATTACAGACATGTCATTGGGAGGTTTTCTAAGCGTGCTTTGAATACTGCCAATAAACCTTATGGTCTAATAGTAACAATGTATTCCTAATAACAGTTTTGCAGATTCGATCGCCACTTGGTTTTATCAATTCACAGTTTTTCTACATGCTGCACTTTGTGGAAATTTAGATACATTTAATGGGAGGCACTGTTATGTTTCAGTCTGTGAATTTCCAAATATACAAAGAATAAATAGGTCGACAGCGTATTTTGCTTGGATGTTATGTGGCTAGAGTATTTAGACTACCGTCAAATGAACCACATGCTTCTCTATACTTACGTCTCTACAGTCATGAATAAAATGTAATGAAAATACAGTTTTAAATTACACAAGCGTGAAAATAACATAATTTTTAAGGGGAGAATTAAATTTACAGAAAACCATAAAAGATTTACTTGATGATCGAGATATTTTTATAACTCGTAAAACGACGACGTAACACTTCACATTTTTAATGTCACGTTATGACGTCATCGGAGTACAAGTAACAAAAACGATGTGCAAGTAAGAATTTCAATCGCAGGCGCATTTTGCAAGGCCCGACCTTGAAGGGTCAAAGATGCGGTCACGCGTTTTATCTCCGCAGTTATTAATTATGGCGAGATCATAATATCAGACATTATCTCGAGCCGTACAATAAGGCAGTCGAGTAATAACAAAAACGACGGAATGGGCCATCTCTTGGAATTTGACATCACTCGAGTTTAGGCGACCGGCGCGGATATCTTGTTTAAAAGACTTCCTTATTTTTCACTTCTACTGAAAAATATCTCTAGACATAATTGATCACCTGAACTGAAGTGACGGAAACTGAAACGCGAATAACCTTTACAGCTTTTTCATCTGTGGACTTTGGTTCGTGACCCGGACGGAATCACGATATTTTCACCATCCACTCAATATCCAGATTTCCGAACGAAGTTAAAATTATAAACTGATATAAAATAGAAAAATGTTGGATCCCGTGGGGGTTCAATGCCAACGATCCGGTGATTATAAGCTTAAATTGTGTAAGTAATGTTTGAACCTCGATTTTTATTGAAGGAAATGTTTATTTACTATATAAAAACTGTTCGTTTTAAATCTAAATAACTTAACGGCATTTGTTTAAAATTATATCTTTAATCTTCTCGAATTATAGGTAAACGTATTAATATGCAGTTTATACACACGACGCAGTAAAGATGCAACCAAACTGTACCAATTCACGAATATAAAAATAATTTAATTACCCTTTTCATAGTATATTTGAGTACCAAATAAATTAGTTTCAAAATATCTGTTGTAGTGTAAAAGCAGTTGGTTTATATGAATTAAGGCTGCGTATTGATAATGAAATTATTGTATGTTTTTGGTGAATGATGGCGTATATCTTTTTATATTATAAGCGGCATTTGTATGTTATATGCAACGTCGAAAGAATATTTATTTTTGCAATCTTCACAATAACGCTATCGTTAGGATGGTGAATAAAAAACATTTAATGCAAGCGACTACAAAAGAATCTACGATAGTATAAAAAATGAATTAGTTCGGTAACTAACAACACAATCATGTGATGTAACGCCAGCAAATAAGATCTTATATTTGTGAGTTATATAGTACGTCACTAAAGACGGACATTTGCGTTTCATAATTAATTACTATTTTATTTAAGGAACCTACAATGTCTTTAATTTTATAGACTACGATTAGTTTAATTTTAATTAACTTCAATGTCTTACTAAAATGTATGTTTTTTAGTTTTTACGTGTTTGCTCTTTGTATATATACATAAAATACACATAATTGCCTTAAGTTTAACTCGTAACAGATATCTTTAAATTAAATAACGTACACAACGATTTTTGCTGACCGTACTTAGTTCCATTACCGCCTAAGCCTCCAATAGAAACAGATGAATCATCATTTTTAAACTAATTACGACCGAGTAAAAAAGTAAATGCGAGACGACGCCTCGAATGGGTATTAAGATTCATCGAAAACTACTAAGCCTTCCTCTACGCTTGATTTTGTTTTTAGGGTTCTCTATCAAAAGGGAAAAATTAACCTTATTACTAAAACTTTGCTTGTCCGTCTGTGACTAGGCTGTATTTCAAGAACTTCTAAAGAAAAAATTCTGTTGCTGCTATCAACGAAATCATATGAATATTTTTTTATTATTTTTATAATATTCATATGATTTCTCAGGAAGTAATAGTTCGAATTGAAAAAAATATTTTGTGTTTATTGGACTCTTTATCGAGGAAGTTATCAAAAAATAGGCTGCGATGGACATGAGTGAGGACACAGTACGATAATATGAAGACTAAAAGGGGAAAATTATTTATCTTTGAGAAGATTTCTTTGGCAGAAAAGAGATATTTTTCCTGAAATCTTGACAAAAAGTCTCCGAGAGCCTATGTCTATGTTTTTAATATTAACTAACTAGAACCGTTTTTATATTCGAAATACTTCATATGGCAATAAAAACGTTAACCAGACCAGCTAGAAAGATATATATGTAAGGGCGGTGGTATTGGTTGCTGATCTCTTTTTACTCTATACCAATAATAGCAACTTGTAAACACTAAAAATATTGGTATGAAAATTTCTGTACCTGCCGGATAAGGAACCACGCGCGCTTAACCCGGCTCGCACTTGGTCCGTTTATTATTGATTGGAAACCAGAAATAGTTTATTGAATAGCAATTTAGCTTTGAATCACAGATTTCCTTGGCAGTTGCGCGTATCGTTTTAATTTAAATAATATCTTTACGATTAATATTTTAGTTATATCGATAACAAATTAAAGGCAAACGACACGGGCGGGATTTGAACCAAAACCCCCTGCGTTCCATGCTGTTGATCTAACTAATTGAGCTATACGCAGTCGTCGACGTTTTTTATTTAAAAAAAAATATAATTGATTTTTCATTTATATTGTGCCATCATGTGCGAAATATTGATGTTTTCAACATTCAAGTATTATTAAATATGATAATTCCTCGCATTGAATATCTCGCGTTTGGTAGGAAATCTATAAAGAATAAGAACTAAAACTTCTTATTATTACACCTTTTAAGCAAGTCATGTGTAATTTTTTTTTATATTTAAAAAACGAGATAAATAATTCACTTTTAATAATAAACTTAAATCTTCTTTAATTCAGCATGAGAAATTTATAATGCCCCTTATTTTGATTTATTGAATGAAGTACAGTAAATTTCGTCGTTATCACTAATCCTCCAATAAGACGAAGTATTCACGTGAGACCACTTTTTATAACGTATAATAAAGTTATTTGAATCGATCCAAACGGACTATAACGCAGTGAAATAAATGATGTTTATGGTGATAAGTACTAATACAAGTGGCATGTAGTTGTACAGATGAGTGAATAAATAGTTTTCTCGTGGGGTATGGGGCTGGGACAGTCCGTAAATAAATGAGGATTTTGCGCACTGTCCGATGAATCGGTACTTGCAATTTATGTCCCTAACGTAAAGTGGTGTCTCGAGACTAATAACTATAACGTTATAAAAGATCGATAAACGAAATAAAATTCCAATTTATATTATAATGTATAATTTAAGCATAATACTGCGAAATGATTTAACTTTTATAACCCTACTTCACATCATAAAATAAATTAATATCAAGTACTGTTTATAGTTTGGCAGGACCGCCTCTGAACAAATGGGTAAACGTATTGCCTAGCATTACGGTAAACGCGATAGGTCCCGGGTTCGAATCCCAGGGAAACAAACAATTGTTTCGGTCGGGCAGGGCACAGAAGTCTGATCAACTACTTGCGTGTTAGAGAACGGATCAGTAAAACGAACACAAAAATGTGTCCGCTCCATGCCCCACGAAGGCGAAATGGGAGGTCACTTTACAGTTTACAGCGAGTATACATTTAAATAAAATACTTTCAACGGTTTAAAACACGAAACATATTAATTAAACTACCGATACACTGCTGCGGCAAAACTACACCCAAAACTACGTGCGTAGATAAAATAAAAAAAGAAAATAATATATTTCGTATTTTAAACCGTTTAAAGTGTTTTATTTAAACGCTAACATCGAAGTAGGTGATAACCACGCGTTTTAAATAGCTAGTCAAATATTCTATCAAGATGATTCCCAGAAAGACGATTTAAAAGCTTTATTATAGTTCTATTTCCAAGTAGCGCAGCGGATGTGGCTCACTCGGCTTAACATCTGCAACTTGACTTACACATACACCCAGTTACGTGCGTACTAATGCTTACTATGATCAGCGATGTAGAAAATTAATACACGGACTGAACAGAATTATCACCAGCCTTTTAATAATGATTTAATTACAGATATATCGCTTAAAGAATAATGCTGAATTAATTCCAGTAGGTATTTACTTGCGTCTATATCAAACAGCAATTAAAACAATAGACGAAGTATTTCTTCAGGTAACGCTAATATAAAGTAAAGTAATAGAGAGATATAATAATCTTGAAACGCAATAAAATGTCTTGAGGTCGATATCGTGAAAGCAACAATTCAATATGTCTGTGGAATAGTAGTGGAAGAGAAACACCCACCTGTGATCTCGCAGGTGATCCTGCCTCCGGAAAGCTTTCCCGCAGATGTCGCAGGAGTAGGGCCGCTCGTCGGTGTGAGTTCTCTCGTGGATGAGCAAATTGTACGACTTCGTAAATTGACGATTACAGAATTTGCATATGAACTGCTTCTTCGGTCTAGACGCTCTACCGGGCGCTCTGAGCAGTCTTCTGTCTAAATGTGGATGCATTTGATGAGGTCCCGCCCCAGCTGGGAATAAACCGGCACCAGGGAAATTGAAGCTGTTCGCAGCTGTCGGGGAAGGTCCGGGGGCTCCGAGGAACGCGCCAGGCGGTCCGTATATAGAAGGTTGTGGGGACCCATCTGATATCATACCGTCCATTGATGGTGTTCTATGGTGAGGTAATAGCATCGCTGCCGCTGCTTCTCTAAGAGCGACCTCTTTACGTTTCTCAACCATCATCGCCATTAAATCGAATGAGTTTCTTTTACCGAAATTGCCGGGCGCGCGATCCGGCGAACCTTTTGATGGTTCCGGCCTCTCTCTGTCGAGCAGTCTTTCTCTCTCGATAATTTCGGAGGGAATTAATGCAGGATGCATCTCATTCGGATACATAACGGGATGAATGGCTCTGGTCGGGACGACGGGGACGAAAGCGGATGATTCACGATGTGCTGATGTCAACAAGGTCCCTGTCATCTGCCGATGGTATGGCAGAGGCGGTGAATCGAAACTTCCAGAGTTACGCCCATTTGATGAAGGACGCTGCGCTCTTTCGGCTGAGCTGGCCAGGAATTGATCATGCCTTGATCTCAAAGGCGCGTTAACTGGACTGTCAGGCACTGGGCGCGGTGTCGATGCCCTTGTTACAACTGTTCCACTATTATCCGACATTACGTCGTCACGTCATCTGAAAACAAAAATAGTGTTATATTTTGAGTAATAAGAAATATTCTAATTTAAATGCAACTTTAGGAAAGTAATATCTGATCGCTAAGAACTATTAACTCTCACTTATTATACTACTACTGTTCGGAATAAAAGAAATAAAATCTGGGAGTAGTTTAGTTTTTTCTATACGATGGCCGAGTGATAACAGCGCGCGCTATCAGATGCCTTTGGGTGACGCTCGTGCGTGGAGTTGTGCACAGTTTTAATTATAGGTACTTATATCTGTCTTCCAATTACGTATAAAAGTTTTAACCCTTGAAGTGTTAAATCGATTTGTTTGTTATAATAGTTTTCGTGAATCGAGTGTGTTTTAACAGCAATTAAAATTCGAAAAAGTTATGTACATGTTACGTGGTGACGTAAATATATACCGGACCAGATTTGTTTTTAAATATAATTTTAATTCATCTTTCCAGGCATCCCTAATCCCAATTTTAATACAGACTGACACGCCGCAATAATACGAGTAGTAAATAAGGCAGGACTACTAACTACTGTACCGGAGGTGTGTACTTAGAACATTAAACTTAGCTATAAGTATGTATCGAAGTTTTTGCCGTCTTTTGTCTTCGTAAAACTACACTTGTAATTGTCAATGCCAGACCCTGAATATGTCAATAAAACTATAGATCTCCATCCGAACAGTCGAGCCACACTAGATTTTTATCTTTATAGCTTTCACTTACGGATCGTAAGACTGTAGATATGGGTAGATCTAAGTCAGCGGTTACTACGCAGGTGTCGAACATTTAGATTTATGATTCGAGAGCATGTTTAATTAAGTAGCTCTACATTGTTACTTCGTTATTAACATAAGATATCTCACGCAATCCACCTACGACGCTTCACAACTTGGTTACACTTTTAGCGGGTCTATAGCAATTTCTTTTGTTGGTATCGAGTACGTTTCGAAAGTTTTATTATTCTCTAAAGATTTAAAAAGCGGTTTGTTAAATAAAATCTTTCATATCTAAGTTTTAAAATCTTTATATTCAATTAGACGTGACGCACTAATTCGTTTTGTTTTTGAGAATTTTTCATAACATTAAAAAATTTACATTAGGCGAAACTCGCCGCCAAATACCAACTATGACGAAGCAGATGGCGCTAGCCGTTTTTGCTTTGACATCAGACACCCTCAATCTTTAGTCCTCCCATGACCACAGCCGCCTCAAAGCATCCAAAACGTCAGGCTCTAGTTAAAATTATTAAAATTAGTTTAACTAATATATCGCGTTTTAAACCGTTATCGTGTTTTATTTAAATGTGTACTAGCACGACGTACGAGACCATCTATTAAAAGTTTTAACTATCGTGTTGTTTTGTTTTACTCACAAACTTTGTAATTATGTAAATGGATTCTTTAGCTCATGAATCATTCAACAGTTTATAGAGAATAGTATCATTTCTTGGCTTCTGGTGCTATCGGCAAACGTTAATAGCGACCGGATTTGGTCCCAACTACACGTCTATCTATATTCGATATCGTTTGCTTATATTAAGCTTTTTTTACTTGGATTTTGTTAGTTAATGTTGTAAGAAATAACTTAAAACATAATTTGTGTCTTACCCCACCGAAACTATGCTCTTTCCACCAGGATCTGTATGGACCTGTATTGCTGTACTAGTGTACCTATGCCACGCTATTGATTATTTTATATTAAACAGATGTTTGGGTTTCCGCCTGCATTCAATACATCTTAAGCCAAAATAGGTTTATAGCGATTTGAGAGGTCTCGATGTCTGGGGTTCCACTTCCCATCAATATCCTTCTCCAAAAACAGTTATATATAACGATATCAAAGTTTGAGAAATTCCGTTAATCGTGGCCTTTTTGTAGTTGTCATTTATTGGCCATCCAACAATTGTAAAGGGTGTTATAAAAAAATGAGCTATTTATACTAAGGCATATTAACGTCTTGACGAGTGTGTTTTGTTTGTATAAGTCATCACAGAACGATAGCTATTCCTAGATTAACGATTGTAACTGTACGCAACTGAAATGAACATTATGGCTCGCGACAATAAAACATCTTCTTATTAACTGCCCTTTGCACATACGATGTTATTATAGGGTTTCCGGTTTCCGCGTTCTGTTGTCTACTTATGTTGCTTTGATCGTTCAGTAAAGGCAATAGACACCTTTTAAATTACTGAAAAATCATTAAGTGGGTAAATTAAGTAAGTTAATTATTACAAAATATACGTGTGTAGACATGTTGAAAGATTTTTTTTGTATTTTAATTTTCTCTATGTAAAGGATTTCTAAGTTTTAAACTAAATTTTTGTAGAATAATAAATTTTGAATTGAAATTTGAATGGTGGCTCAAAATGTGTCTCGACCGCCTCTGTAGCTCATAAGTTAAACGCGAGAAGTCTTGGGTTCGAATTCCGGGAAAAAAATAGATAGGTCGGGCAGGGCACAGAAGTCTGATCAACTACTTGTGAAAAGGACACAGATATCTATTCGCCCTTCGTCCCACGAGGGAAGACGGAATTACAAGATTATTAGAGCCGAACAAAACAAAATTATAACTGAAATACAATGGAAAAAGTGACTTATAGAGTCACAACCAGTAAATAAAGATCGATCTTAGAATCAATTTATTCAAGCGCGATTGAAAAAAGGCGGGCGAGCCGGGGCTACATTTCACTGCATGTTGTCCATTCTACCGTAAAAGCCTTCTTGATTTTCCGTCCCTTTCACTCTTAGTGGTCGTACGTACCTCTCACTTAAACAAAGGCTCCGGATCGAGTTTCCGCCATCTTACTCGCTCCATAGCCGAATGTCTACTTTTATCTCTTTCGCTTCGGGAATTTTAAGATAATATGTATGTAGTCCGTAATACTACGTGTAATGATGTTTTAATGTAATCTAGCGTAAACGAGAGATAAAACCGTTAATTTGTACTGCAGTATGGAAATCATAGGAATCACATCAACCTCTTAAAGTAATCTGAATGTATAATTACTTGAGATATCTATAACAATTTATGGATCGAGATCTAGCTGGATAAATAACGTAGCAACTAATTCACACTGAATATTACATTACGAACCAGATACTGTGCACAGTGGTTTTTGAATCCCATTACAGTGTTTCAATATTTTCCTGTTAATTTATACCTGCACCCAAATCATAGTTTATCAATTATTAGATAAACAATTATATGAATGTGGCTGCTACAAAGTATCTGAAACATTGGTCGCGATTTAAATAAAAAAAGTAATATATTTCGCGTTTTAAGCCGTTTAAGCGTTTTATTTAAGTGTGAAATATTTTAACTTCTGTCTACCGTATTTCTATGTGTGTTTGTTCTATGTTTGTTCTTATATAACGCAAAAGCTTTAATAATTTAACAATACCTTAAAAATTTAAACACTCAACATATAAAATAACAAGCCATTGGCTAGTTGAAAATACCTGCCTTCTGATAGGAAACGTCCTTAATTAATAACACCAAGAAAACACGGGGTGAGAAATAAACGAAATCAGATTATCAGGGATCTCCGTACATGCACTAAATCAACGGGTTTTTTGGAACCTGTCCATGCTCCACTTCGTTAATTTGTTTTTAATGGGTAACTCGGGGTTGTTGACTTTATATTTTTAAATATTTTCGCACGAAAACACACGGAACGAAGTAATTTTAACAGCGCTTATGCACACTTGTGAGATTCTGCTATAAGATTAAAATAAAACGATTTAAAACGTGTACGATTTAAAGTTAACTTACTCACCGGGGAGGTGAAGTTTAAACTTAAAAAAAAAGGTAACTAATACAAATCGCGTTTTAAACCGTTAATAGTGTTTACTCGCCCTAACTACGGACAATACATATAAGATTGAAGTTACCTAGTAAGTCGAAGCCTACATTGTAAGTACAATATTGGGTTTTTCAGATAGCTATTGATCAAAAAACAACAAAAAATTGAAAGACAATAATGGTCGTAGAGCACAAATCCTTTTGAAATAAGCTGAGTAAAGGATTATGTATTGAATTGTTCCACTAACCGTGGAGAAAGAGCTTGCTTCTGAGACTTAACACACATACATACCTACAGACACAGCGACGTACACACTAGTGAGTATGCAACTTTGAACAGCAGTCTAATGTAAAACGCATTTGCTACTAACGATTTCTTCTTTTATCGAGTTGACTGCAATCAAGCTGTAATGCGGCGGCGAACATCAAAGACATTTTAGGAGTATTCCTCTATAGCTATGCCGATTATTGATTATTTTATCTTTTAAATACCTTATCGTTTATCGTAATCGAACAATCTCGATGTACAAACACTGAATTAGTATATTGGAGACAATTAGGTTTAATGTAACTCTACGCGGAATTCTTTTTTGGTGCCGCAAGGCTGCTTTCATGGATGATAACAAGTGTAGCATATGTTAGATTAGATTACATTATCAGTTAATGTACAGATTAACTACCATTTCTAGTGGAGAGCACGTTTCTACCGTGTTATATGAACGCTGGCGTGTAGAGTCAAACAATGTTATCCAAACATAATAAACGGCTGACACTTTCTGGATTATGTTAGTGATGATTAAAAATACAGAAATAGATTGATTTTTATCAAAATATAATTGTTTGGAGTACCTAATACGAATAAAAAAAGGAAAACTAAGGATGTTTTGATAGAGAAGGACAGACAAGCGTTCACTTGATAAAGGTGACATATCTCAGCCATAACACATCAAAGCAAGATGCTCTGTCAACTTATGTCTTATTGTATTGTCTTTGGATATTCGGAAATCCATAGGCTGAAACCGAAACGCGATTAAAACTTAATTTTTCATCTGTGCACTTCATAAGGATGCCATTTTGATATTCCTACCGCCCATTAAATATCCAAAACTCCAGACGAAGTCCAACATGTTTCAGAAAAATGATAAATTGATTATACGTTGAACCCGGTGGGGATCGAACCACGACCCATTTAGTTATATATTTAGTTATGCTACCGGGCTTAAAAGGGCAGTCGTCCCTTTATTAACTTTGTGGAAAATCACCTGCATAGTTTATTGGAGCATAAAAGTCAGCTGCGTAACTGCTTGCGTAGTTTGCCTAATCGTAGGGAGCAATTGTTAACATCTGACTTTTAACGTAATAGCCGAAAAGTTATTACTAATAAAGTTATTATTACTTCTTTACAATTTATTTCAACTACTCAACAACATTCGGATGCTTAGAAGAAAACAGATGGCGCTAGCGTAGCTGATTTGACTTTAACATTAGGCGTTGGGTACATCCGCCATCTTCTGTCCCCCCGTGACCATGGCTGCTGTAAAGCATCTAAACGGGGTGTAGTTAAAATAAATTTTGCGTTTCATACCGTTAAGAGCCTTTGTTTTCAAATTAAAACTACTCACTAATCACTATTTAAACGGATGGTTAACCTAAATCAAGAAGTCTCGATGGAATTGGCTCTAAGCATGGTTTGCTTTAACATTTCCAAGTTCCGTTCACCAAAGATACCATATCTTGAACACCTTGTCATTGACGGTAGTAGTACAAAACGCGGTCGTTAACCGCAAACTCGAAACTTGTCGGTGTCCATTGCAAGTCAACGAGAAGTAGCCTTGTTTTATACCTACGGTTATAATACAGCCTTCACCTGATGTGCCGCTATAAATAAATAGTCGCCTTTCGGTACATTACATACCGTGTTTGAACACGTTATAAAACTCTATTGATCCAATAAAATAATATGTATTTATAACAGAAATTACATGAGAAATATTAAAATAAAAATTAAAGACGAAACGCGGTAAAATTCCCCTAACTCAATGTGTATAGCATTTATATTTTTATGATAGACGAGGACAACCATATAACTAAGTATATAAGCAATATAACCAAAATGCCCTGACGACTGATTTTAGCTTTGATATTTGGACGTCCACAGACTGAAACCGCAACATTATAAAGCTTCACGGCTTTCTCATATGTGGACGGTGGTTTACATTCAACACCCAGGTTGCTAGAGGAAGATCAACATGTTTCAGAAACAACATAAATTGATTAGAAACCTCATGGCCCGGCGGGGACCGAACCTGCGATCTGTTGATTAGGTATTAGCTAGCTACCATTAGTCCAACGTACCCGTGTAACTTATAGTGGGGCTAGGTTCTCTCTACTATTTTTAGAGAAGATGGGTAAGCAGGTAGTTTAAGTCTTAAAATGGTATTAATATTAAAATAGATTCAGACAAGTTTTATAAAGACGTCTATTATCGTATTTTAATACTAACTCCATCTGATTGTTGAATCTCGTGTGTAGCTTCTTATTCCTAGGCATTACATTGTTACTATCTAATAATCGGCCGAGCAAATAGTTTAAGCCTTTAAATAAGAGATTAGCATCTCATTTTTCTAAAGATAAGGAAGCCACTGATAATTGTAATTACAGTAATACAGTGGCTCGACGCATTACAACGAACAATAGAATTAAACCACAAACCGTTACTCGGGTGGCATTAAATGTGTACATCATATGTTTCGTAAAAAACAGGTAGCCGGGTAAAACGCACCCTGCCTACCCAATTTATTCCACATCCGCTATATTAAATTACGTGTACTAATAAAAAAACGGACTCACAAGTCGACGGGTCGTCCGATCGATCAGCAGACGCGTCCACCCTCAGCAGTCAGGTAGTCGCCCGCAAAGTTTACAAACCATGGGAGGGTCGAACAAAAGTCCATTGCAATTTTTTGTCACATTTCATAGTCTAACCACAGACTGCAACAGGTGAATAGGAGATTAGTGGACGCGCACACAACAATAGACGCACTATACGACCCATAAAGCAGTTAATACACAGATAAAAAGTTATACACGACGATCACGGAAAAACGTAGTTCATATCACATCACTGTTCGTGTTTTTTCCACTGTAATCCACTCATAAAGTCAAGATATTGCGCTGGTAGCCTTATCTCTAGGCTGCGCGGGCGCAAGCGAGCGCGTCGGGTAGAGTGCGCGTACTACTGTGCCCACGTCGTCAGAGGCAGTAGCGCTCCCGTAGACGTTCCCCCCGCGCCTCGCTACCCGCAAAGCCTTCAAAGTTTTTTCCCTGACAGCGATAAAAAGAGGAAGGATATTCTTGTATTGTTGAATTTTCATGTTAGTAGCTTATAAGTAGTGTAAACTGACTCTACCCTCAAATGTTGGATTCTATCGTGGATTTCGTCTCTAAACGTTAATTGATAAAAATATTTACGTATACATGTGAAGTTTTATCTTTTTAAATTATTTTTATCTCAATTCGCCTCACTTCATTGGAGGATCGCTACATTAAAACATATGCGTTTTTAATAATTTATTTACAACAAAATCTATTCTGTAGTCACATAATTTTTTAAAAATTTACCACGTAAACATAACATTTAATACTTAAACAATATTTAATTCGTGAAAGAAACATATCGATCGACTTATTTAATATGAAAACTTAGATTTTAAACTGTGATATATTTCGTACAATGTGTTTTAATTCAAACGGTGACTATATAATTAATTTAAAATAAATAACATGATTTATATAATAGTTCTGAAGCTTCTTTATTTGCTTCTTCATTCTTTTTTGTTGAACACAATAAATATGTAATACTTAGTTTAAATTTCGATAAATCTATAGAGATACGAATAAAATTATATGGTAACGTGCATTATATATTTCTAAATATCTCTTCGATCTCCATACGATAAGACTCAGGTATATATATGAAACACTCACTAATGTAAAAGGCTATTCTAGAAGCATTTACGAAGTCTGTTAAGTCTTTTTATTTATGTATATTAATTATGTATATTTGAGCTTTACATATTAACTATATACAAATATTTCTTCCAATTATTTTCTTCTATTATATTATAATTTTAATGCACTATTTAAAGTCACCTAGCATGGACCGCTCTCTAATAACTTGTTTTAATACACATAGCTTTTGTTTTACTGAATAGATATCTCATATATTTTTTTATATTCGTTTTCATCGCATACTTTTTCTTTACTAAAGTTTTGGCTTAAAATCTTTAATTTAATATCACTAAAAACGTTGGCACATCGATTAAACAGATTCTTTTAACGTTTACACATAACGTTCCTACATTTAATTTCTTAAATTTATGCTTCGCATTTTCAGCTAACGCTAAATTTTTACTAGTGACAATTGTTACAGTTTATTCACTTTCAAAGGCTCACAATAACTATGTAAGTTGGACACAATTCGTTTACATATTTCAGAGATAAATCTGTATATTATATTTGTCTGTAAATATTACGGAACATTAGTTGTTATTGTCTCTTATGAGACAGAAGTGTAGAACTATTCTCGCCTTTGTCAATTTTAGATTGAAAAATCGACAATGACGTGTAGGACACGGTAGCTCAAATAGTTAGAGATGCTGATTCAAGTCTTGCCCGAGTCGTAGATTTTTACAATCCAAAAACGATTTTTAATTTATGTAATGCGATCACAATAGCGTGCGAGAAATATTAAGTTTTCAATAGATCTGACCATTTCTGATCTATATAAAGTATGAATAACCTTTATTTTACAAACATTGATGGTATAGGATATGTAGCAGATATTGAAAAAACATAAGTGAAAAAAGAAACATGCTTCGATGTGGCTTTTTAACTTATAACATAATATATTTTTTAATTTAAAAGTTTATTTATCTCTGAAGAATTAATTTTTAAAATTCACTCATTATATTGTGTGTGATATATATATATATAAATCTGTATTTTGTTCTAAATAAATATTTCTTCCAGATTAGGACGGGATCCCTCGATAAATCATTCAAATATACCTTCATGTAAATAAATATATATTCAACCCGGGGTTACTATAATTCTGTACGTATAACTCTGGTAGATAACAGTAATAATATATTCTCAGTACTTTTTTCATTACAATAATTAAATATATAAAAATCTAGGGAAAAATTAAGTTAAAATGTGATTTTTTGTCAATTGCCTATACAAAATATTCGAACGAATCCGAAGGCATGATTCGTCAACCGGCCTTCATCCACCTGTCTATAGAATATTCTAGAGCTGCCATCCACCTAGAAAATGAAGAGGACAAATATAAATTTCCTTTTTTTTAAATATCAAGAATACTTAGTATCGTTTTGTTAGAAATTTATATGATATAAGTAATGAATATGATACAAAAACATAGAGTAATTGCGCGGGTAATTTCATGAGAAAAACAGTATTTTTAAATAGTACCTTTACCTTCAGAAAATTCACTAAACTTTTTTATTACATACATGTTTTACGTTACATAAAGTTTATAAAGCTGTCCAGTCTGTACTTTTTGTATGTGGATACGTATTCTATTTAAATTTATTTGACAAATCAGTATTAAAGTGGAACTAAATCTCACCGTTTCTTATCCATTTCGGATTCTGTATGGAAGTAAAAGTGGCGTTGTTTTGGCTCTGTGGGCATAACCTCAAATGCATACTTTTTCCCACCAGCTGCGCATGTTTGAACACGGTATCCGTGAAGACAAGCCATTCCTGTCAAAAACATTTGAATAAGTCATAATACTATTGTGACAATATACATAGGGGATTCCCCGATCAAAAGAACTGTTCTTATTATCCAGACATTTTTATCTAATCTAACGTTTAATCATTTTTACCAATTTCAGTGTGGTGTGTGTGAATTTGCATTGTCATTATGCGAATCATTAGGTCAGTATAATTTCCACGTTAATGATAAAATTTTGGCACAGTAGTAATTGTTATGTATTAAAGAAAAGACAAATTATTAATATCTGTTGTCAATGATAATCTCTTCTTTATAATTGTGTATTACAAACTTGTATTTGTACATTTTAAGAATAGACTTAGTACAGTAAATGTACTGTGTATGTATATGTAAACTTATATCAAGGCCGCTAGGCTATACAGTCAACAACTCCTAAAGATAAAATATTGTATTTTAAAAACTGTAATTTTTTTCACATACCGGCACTATATAAATTAAAGATTGATTATAGATTGAATAAATTTTACACGGTAAGGCTTCAAGTCCTGCACATGGCGTATTTTAAAAAAAATCTATAACTATGACTAACTAACAGCTATGAAAGCAAAACATACCAAAAGCGCTCTTGCTGTTCCCATCATTGTAAAAGTAGAGGCAAGCATCCTTGAGGACGCAGTATCGTTTGGCCCATGATTTCCACTTTGACCCCAGCTTCATCAAGTAACCGAAGCAGTCTGGTCGAGGTATTGAAGATGGCGGTAATTTCATGTTTCTTATCGTCATTTCAAGCCAGCCGTCCCGCTGTAAGATAACGAGACACATTCAGTATCGGTTCAACGCCATCTAGTATCAAAGATAGTTACTTGCGTCATAATACAGTATAGATGACGTTATAAATAAAAAGTAATAATGATAATTTGAATATCCTTGGTAGTAGGGGTATGAATTTTAATTGCCTTTCGTTTAGACTTATGTTCCCTACACAACCGAAAATGTGTTTCTGGACTTAGAACCCAAGTCTTTTTGTAAAGTATGTTTAACGTAGTCCTAGGCAATCCATACTAAAAGGAGCGAGGAAGCGGGAAATGGGGAAAAAAACGGGCATCACACGAACATCTTCCGATATTCCGAGTTTCCGAAGCGGTTCCTAATACCCAACATATTCATAAAGCTTTATTTTACGTATTATTCTTTGTTATTTTTTTAATAAAGGAAAATTAATATTTTTCGAAAAAAAAACGCCATCTCTTGGCTCTAAGTAACAACTTTTTGCCTATATTCCATTCTATAAAAATATACCTGGTCACTGGCATCTATAGCATGAGCTAGAACAGCGCGCCATCTCGCGGCAGCTTCTGAAGTGTCCGCTGCAAGTTGCAACCTGGTTCCACCACCGCGCTGCAGTCGGAAACCATGTGGTTTCCCTGCGTCCTCTTCTGTTAGCTGATAGTTAACGAGCATGAGGGCTCCTACTGGATGGATGCTCTGGAAAGATAAAATACAGTATTTATTACACAATGTGGTGATTTCCCAATTTAATCCCTTTTTTTTATAGAGGAAGACAGACTAGATGTGCTGTTGACCTATTATGGCTTTGGATATTCGGAAATCTACACACTGTAACGTGATTAAACTTCACGGTTTTTCATCTGTGGACGGTGGTTCGTGATGCGGACGGAATTAAAATATTCTACCACTCATTTAACATCCAGATTTCCAGACAAAGTTCAATATGTTCCAGAAAAATAGTAAATTGATTAAATATATGTTGGGTACGGTGAAGATCGAATTCCACGACCACGACGAATTATAAGCCATACATTGCTACCATAACCAACGAGCTCGTCATAATTGAATAATGAAACTAATATATTGTTAACGAAATTTTTACTTTCATATTTCGGTTTGGATGTGGGGTATGAGGCAAATCCATCACTATGTCCGTATCATTAATCAATTCCATTTACAGGGCAGTTGGTATGTGATCAGACCCTAACTACGAGCTAAAGTAAATGAAATTAAGAAAACGATCTTTACTTAATATCCATAAAAAAATCTTATTTGAGAGACCCAGTACCTCCAAATTAAGTGTTGTCAAAACTTTTGGATAGAATTTATTTAGTGTTTAGGAAACCTTATGAATGCCCTCAGAGACGTATTTTGCTGTATCTATTACTTACAGAATCTGTTTTGTAGTAATAAAGGCAATTATCCCGTTTCAAGACGAACCACCTCCTCGTCCATCTGGGAGGATGGTGTGGCCTTAGTGGTGCAGCTCGCCACAAGTACCCGGAGTACAACGCGGCTGGACCACCTTCATGAGCAAGAGATGCCACCACCTCGCAGGTTCTGGCAACCTGGTATGATAAAAATTCATTAAGTATTGTTTGTAGTCACGAGTAATTCACAATTACATAAAACACTTGTAACGGTTCAAAATGCGAAATATATTAGCTAACTTATTTTAACTACGGTCCCTGGACGGCCCGAATTTCACATTTCAAACCGTTTAAAAGGTTTTCTTTAAAAAATTTATAATAAATTATAATTGATTTTTAAAAGTGAATAAACAATCATTAAATAAAAGTTTAAAGAAATGCAGGGTAGTTTAAATAGAAGTGTATACTTGTAACCATTGTTCATAGTAAATAATTTCGTGTTTTAAACCGTTTAACGGTTGTTAGTGTATTATTAAATATAATTTTACTTAGACCGATATATTTAACGTAAAAAGAAGCTTTTATTTTTTTCTAAATATAAAAAGACAAATTTTTTAATATGTTCATTTATCTACGAGACAGAGATGCATTGAGGCAATGATATCTTGTTAACAGTCGTTTTAAATATTTTACAACTTACTTTCTTTTTTCGTCAAGTAATAACAATAATATATCTGACGACAATAAAAAAACATTACTCACATCTAATTCGAGAATTTCTGAGCCGGAATGAGCTATTTTCACCACCTCCGAGTGAGTCTTATCCAAAACATTGATTCCTGTGAATAAACAGAAGCGTATATTTATACCAGATATATTTAAAACCTTAAGAGTATTTATTAAAAAAAAACAATTACATAATTAAAGACGTTGTAAGTTTAAAAAAAAACGTCCTTTTTCCCGAATCACAATAGATAATTGACATTCCTTTGTATAACGTAACTAATTAGATAAAGTGGACTAAAATTAATTGTAATTACCATTTACAGATATGATGATGTCCCCAACTTCCAGACCTGATGATTCCGCCGGGGTATCGGGTTCGATCGCTGACACAACCACGGGTTTGCTGCCATGGATCCTGAATCCAAATTCTTCATTGCCCCGACGTACTACTACAGTTTTATCACTTTCTGAAATGGACATTTGCTGAATTAATAACAAGAATTATAATAAACTATTGTAGTAACTATATAAACCTGTTTAATATTACTGTTAGTGAATTCCAGAGGCCCCATGTGAGGCTTGGGGCGAACACTATATTGTGTCCGTTTCACTAATCGATTTTATTGACACTAAAGTAGTCGTGGGACTTCTGTGCCCAGCCCGAGCAAAACGATTTGTTGTATCGCCGGGTTTTGAACGCAGAACTTCTCGTGCTTAACGCAATGCTAGGTAAGTTAACCATTGAGTACGAATACTAGATTCTGGGGCTTCTAAGAACTGTTGTTTTTTTTCAAATTCTAATGATAGTAAACTAACTTTTCCCATCATGTTTTTTTTTGTAATTGATAATCTATCTGGTTTCGCAATAAATTATTTATTTTGAAAACTTACACTGAGACAGATTTTTATTTTAATTGAAAAAAATTGGGGTCAGGGCGCAAGGCCTTTGTTGTCCTGGGTCCTCTAGACTTCTAAATCCGGCTCTGTTTATTGACCTATTCTTATGCTTTCGTAATCTAATGTTAATAAAATAATTTTAAGATAGCGACGACATAATCTACAATAATTATAAGCATCTTAAAATATTATTAGGATTTTTTTTATAAAAAGTTAACCAAATCATATTTTTGTTTTTTAGTAACTAAATTTGATTGTAAATCCGAGATTTCCATTCTTTGACGGAAGACGGAAAATGTAATTAACAATTGCATACAATTCAAAACATCTGGTTGTAGTTGATAAGGTTAATGTTTAGCGTTAAAAGCAGTTAAAAGTGTTTCAATTAAATTTGTAACTAATTTCGTGTAACAAGAACGTCCAGAAACCTATTGATTTAAATATAAAAGCCATCATAAACAGATGTAGGTTATCTCCTGAGAGAACTCGTGGAAAATTCAAGAGCCGGCGTGACCCTGACACGCTTTTTATGAACCAAGACCTAATATTGAAAAAAATCAAACCATCAGACTTTGGCAAACACCCAATAGGCGCATAGTTTCATTCATATTGGCGCCATCATCATTAATTTTACGTTAATTGGTAACAAAATAATTGTTAATACTGATGTAAATGGTTAAACTACATTGTACTACATCTACTATTACTATTGTTGTAACTGGACTGAAAGGCATCCGAACGTCTGGTCAAAGTGTTAAATAATAACCAATATACTTCGCGTTTGAAACCGTTAAAATATTTGCATATTATGAAATGATGAACTATACACGATGTTTTAATTTTTATATATTACTACTACGTAAATAGATTAGAAAGAAAACAGTTACATTTTGTCGTAACATATCCAATTTTATCGTTAGTAAATAATTCGGTATTATTACTATTTTCTAATTCACGAACATAATATACAAATAAACAATATTTCACTAGCCTCTATCAATAAATTGTGTGTGTGTGTGAATATAATATAGTATGAAAATAGTGTGGCTCCTATTTTCGTACAAATACACTTCACTTTCGGCAATTGATCAAAACGAAAAGGTGCTAAATCATTTTACATTACCGCATGGTTCTGGTGCAACAAGCCTATTCACTTCACACTGTCGACACCACAACACCAGCATCAATTTGAAGATCTCCTCCAATTTCTGCCTTAAATTGCCATACTCACAGTTAGATAAAACTCCCTTTACTAAAACGTAAGAAACAAATGTAGAACAATTCGCCAGTTAAAATAAAACAACTATATAATAACTTACAATGACCCATTATAGTAATTTAGTTTAAACAAGTTTCCGAAACACACTTATCGTTTACACGTTAAACGTAAAACGCGATCGAATCAATAGCTTTCACGAAACACGTCTGAAGTCTCGCTACAGTAGCGAGTCTTCGACGACTGAGATTTGACTTTTCGCCGGCCACGTGAATTAAATTTAGTGCGCATACTTGCGGTCAGTTCGGAGGCGACTTTTTATCGTTTTTATTTCAACTGTATAGTTTAGCGTGATTCACGAAAGTATTGTGATTAAACTGAGCGTATAAAGTTTGTTGTAACCGCCACAAATAAACGGTTTAAAACGCTGAATATATTAACTTGTTATAACTGCGACCATTCGTTTTGGATGCATTTAATATACTGTAGAAGTTTTAGAATTATAAGTGGCTGTAATTACGCCATTTATTAAATCGTAGTTATAATCTTTCCCGTACATAGTACTGTTATGTCATTTTTACGTAAGACAATTCTGTGCGTTGTTGAAAAAATTTTTGAGGTCGTGTTAAAAATAGCGGGTGCTACAATTTAAATGAACAGGTGACGAAAATACTCGTCGCGTCATGCGACGGAGCGGCCGCGGTAATTTTGCACAGATAAATGACGTAGTTTGGATCTGTGATCTATATGCATGACGTAATGTGACATTTTAGGTTATGTACATAGTATATACCTACATGTTTTACGCAGTTCCTTTTGTGGGCTGTAGCACAACAAGAACCTAATCTTTGATGGTTTTCCATGAATACGTTATTATTGATAAGATAAAATGAATTAAAAAATAAATACAAAAAAATATATATATTTTAAAATTTATAAATGTCACAATAATCTGTAACCGGTTCAAAAAAGCTAGTTGTATTAATTAATGCAAAATTTAATTTTTAATCTTCTTAATTTCTCTTATGTATATTTAGACAGCTATATTTGTTTTTTTTCCTTTGCTTGTCTGTAAGATAAAGGCGGATGTATTCGCTTGTATACTCATTGTCATTTTATTTATGTATTCAGTGGAAAATCTTTTAAAATATAAATAAATAAAATATGAAGCACTTAGTTTATATTGTATACCATCTTTAATTACTCATCAAAATCCAAATTAAATAAAATAAAAAATAAAAATCCGTGAACAGTAATAAGTTCAATCTGACGTGGTTACGCGTTTAACGTAACTTCTTTTAAAAAAATGTTGTATGAGATATGTACATCCTAACATCTACGTCAAATATTAGTATGATATACTAATGATACAATAACAGTCAAGTAATTCCTAAAAATACACAAGCAGAATGTTGCCTAGAAATAAAACTGATCCCACGGGGAACCACGATTTCACTCTTTTATTTACAGAAGAGTCGAGAAACCTGCAGCTTTTTTGAAGTTCGTTATTTATCTATTTAAGTAAATTTATACAACATCACACTAAGTTCTATAAAACTGAAACTTATGCGTAATTAAGAATTGAAATAACTAAGTGACAGTACAAATAACTTTTTTACTTACCAAAGCTGTTACTAGTCTGTCGTTTGTTGAGCTCGATGCAGGCTCGCCGGTGTACCAGTCTGTGGGTTAACGCAACGTAACGTTTGTTGAACTCCGATTCAGATTCCGTCGGGTCTTCTTGGCTGTCTGATGATACTGTGACATCTGTTTTGGGGATTACATAATCAGCTATAAACATAGAAATTATGAACAGTACCGTTTTTCGTCTTGAAACATAAATATATAGTTTTGTCCCATGAAGATGTTTATCGCGTTGTTCTTAAAGTATTAAGAACTCCATATCGAATTTATAAATAATGATTATTTTTTTAATTTTTAATCGTAGTGATTTTTATTCACCCAACGATTTTGGAACATTAGTTTTATTTTCCAAATTTGAAAATCGCTAGTTCCAAAACTTGGACTAGGACATATAAATATCTATTAGTTTACCTGGAGGAATCCTGGTCCAATGGTCATCTGTCTCGGACAGGAGAATCCAATTCCCACACCACCATGGTGTGGCATATACCCCACGTTCAGTTCGACCCTCCGCTCCCTCAGAACTTCCAGAACATTCTTCTTGCTCTGTAGGACAGGCAACGTACTTGGTTACTTATTTAAACATTACATAATGTTCTATAAGATTACTTGGTAACTATCTCTTAGTTTTATATATAAAACTAAGTATAATAAGTATTTAGTTACCAAGTAATCGTCGGTTACCAAGTAGTTTTTCTTCAGTAAGCTAAAATTTCTTGGACAACCTTTATCAAAATCAGTTCTTCCGATAATCTTACAAACAAAAACATCTTACAAAGATTTTTTGTATCGCACTAATACGGTACATGGAAAATATAATAGTGAATGCTGAAGAGTTAAATCGTTTTATTTTTATCTAAGACTAGGTGTAAGCCAATTTGTGATTTATTACAGTTTTCTTGTAAAGTCAGATTACACGTTCAAGAAGCGAAATAATCGCGTTATTGTATAATATGATTATAAAAAAACGCGATTAACTTACTGTTGTGAAGTAAAAACATGATGTCATGATTATTGTCTACAGTGTATAATTATAGTCAATGTCACCTAGTTGATCAACACTTTCTTTCTGTACTGCTTTCCTTTATTTTACTATTTTATCGTTTAGTATTTAGCAGTAGTAATTAGTCTGAAGCAAATATAAGTTGTCTTAATAAATTGAGTAAGGCTTTCAAATTAACAATTCACTTAGTTTCAATAAAGCGATTTCTCTAGTGTTCTCCTTCATCCATAACTTTTTCTGATGTACGAGTCTGAATATGATTTTAATTAAAGATCATCTAACCATCTGGATCGACGCTCCCTTGAGAACTAGCTAGCTTATCCAGACTGTTCCCAGCTGATCGTGCAATTCGTGTATCGGCTGGTTTTTCACTTGTTGCGTATTCTTCCTTTCCTCTTTCTTCGGACTGTAAACAAAAGAATTCTAAGTAATAAAGTTTGGAACAGATGACGTACGTAGATAATAAATGTAAAAAAATAATATTTATATTGTTTGAAAGTTGTCCTAACCATAGTGATAGTAGCTAGTTCCTAAGAAGTACTGGTTCAAATAAAAAAAAAATGTGATGGATAGAACATTAATCAATACGCAGATCACCATAATCATGACCAATGGGAGCGAGGAAACATGGAAAATTATTTATCTTTAAGGGTTTCTATTACGTGTGCTCTGGAAATGGTGAAAGAAGATGATGTATAAGAGGATGATTGCTTTTTAAATGATCTAAGATAATGTTAGCTACAGTATATGTCTATCTTTAAAGATTAATTCGCAAGAACGATGGGACCCGGCGATGCCGTGAGTAGCATTGCTTCCATTTTAAAAGTTGAGGAGGTTGTTTTCAAAATAAACAATAGTATGATGCCCGCAATAAATATTGCATGTGGACGGAGTCGCAGGCACAGCCAGTAGAAGATAAGTTACGAAGTACCTTTGCTCGAACATCTTGTCTATGCCGATAATGTCTTGATTTATCTTCAGAACGGTAACGTTTGTCCAATTTCTTATACAGTCGAGCGCCACTAGTTTGCTTCTTTGTGGAAAGACATGAAGGAGAGTCAGCAAAACCAGCTGGGGCAGGAACTATGTCTGGTGTAGCGTCAGCATATGATTCCTGTATATTTGTTATTTATGTAAAACAATGTGAAAAACTCGTAAATGAAGGTATGACCGTTTTTAAACTTATCAAACTTTTTTACTCAACTATACACTTGCTATTTCCATTTGAATCGTGTTTTATGGTAGATAATTAATATTAAATAGTTTATACATACATCCGTATGCGACGTCTTAGAAGTTCTACTGTCGTGGTCGTGGGAGGCAGTGACGATATGGACCTCTTTGCCGCAGTGCAGACAGTGGGCCTTCGCCTCTTCGTCCGCTCCCAAGCTCTGCTCCGTTTGCTCGGAATAGAACACGGAGTCCGAGCCTGGTGAAACGGAACGGAGAGATTCTGCAGAAGCCGCCTTTGCAAACTTTCCGTCTGTTACAAAAACTTTTTTTATCACTGGCTTTTTTAATTTCTTAATTTTATCCTAGAGGACAGACAAGCATGGGGTTGATTGATGATAGATATATACCCCAGCTATATTACATCTTAACAAATACGCTGTCAAACGATTATGTCAGACTCAAACTAAAACGAAATTTAACTTGATGGCCTTTTTTATATGTGGACGGTGCTTCGGGATCCGGACGGAATTCCGATATTCCTGCCACCCATTTAATCTTCAGATTTCCAATTGAAGTCCAGTAGGGATCCAACCGACCCAACAAGACCGTCGTTAAATTAATTTCATGTAAAGCAATAAGTTGTAACACAATGTGCCCTATAAACAATATTAAGTAACTAATAATATCACAATGGTATGGTTGATTACTATTACAATTTTTTTTAATTTAGTATTTTACATTCTTATACTTTTCAATTTCTAACCATGATCCTGTTTCCTATGCCTCGGTGACGTTTGACCCTTTACGTAACGAAGCGGTGTCAATCGTGATCCCGCTCTGGTTAGAGTTCTTGCTGTTTCAATATCCTCCGCCTCTAATGAGCTCATACAGGGTAATGTTGGTATAGACTGTTTTCTCCGAGGCAAGCTCCCGGGAAGTGATATGCTTTCATTTGATCCACTTTTTCTTCTTGGTCTGGAACTGATAAGTCAAAATTGTTAGGAAGAAACGAAACTTTAGACTGTCATAGGTTCAGTCTAACAATTCACCATAGATAATTAAAAAAAACTTACGAATAACTGCTGTGGTTATTATTACAAGTTGGAGATTTAGTCATTGAATTAGACGCGGTCTTTCGCCGTGGACTATCTCGCAGGCGCCTATGTTTCCTCGGCGACACATTTCCATTACTTGTACCTAAAAACAGATAAACAGGTTTATTAGACTATTGTTGTTAACATTTATTCTTTAAAATGCGTATAATTTAAGCAATTGAAATATTACCATTCTTCTTATACTGCTCACTTGAATCGTCGGAAGTGGGTATATTAAGATGTAATTTCATATTTGATCCCACATCTCTTCTATCGTAATGCATTCCTCTGTAACTAGTATCTATAGTTCTACTTTGTGTAGGGCTTTTAGCTTTTAATTTTGTTCTCTTGACATATCTTTCTCGTTCAACTGGTCTTTTATTTTCTATCTCCTTATCTTTAAGCGTCTTTTCTTTTAAAGATTTCTCTACATCTACAGGTTCTCTAGGAGAGGATTGCAAACTTTTAGTTTTTTCTACAAAATGAGCTTTCTTTTTACGAGTTTCTTGACCTTTATCTTCCAAAGGTGACTTTGATATAGCAGACTTTAAAGCAGAACGTTCTGATCTGTAATTCAGGTTTGATGGTTCTTTATCTTTTTTCCCCCAATCGTCTTGAGATGTGGAAATAGAATCATCGTACGATTTCGAAAATTCTAGGGTAAAAGCTTTTTTCTTCCTTCGTTTTTCTTCGGAGAGCCAAAGCTTGGGTCGGCTTGTAGATCTATATTTTTGCGAGTGTTTATAGGCTGGAATACAGATCGCTAATTAATTAAGCGAAATAAAATACACAAACAGAGAGAAGTATAGTGTAAAATTACTTAGTCCCCCATCATCGTCATCCTCAATTGGACTTTCGTAATAGCCTGATGATGAATAATGGACGCTCCTTTCGTCGTCTGACAATGAACCCTGGAATGTATGATAAGAATATTTTGATTAATTTACAGCTAAAAAAGGAAAATATTTTATACAAAAAATATATTTACCACATTTTTAGGTACTAATTGTTCCCTTACTTCTTGTTTCACAAATTTTTCCTTTTTTTTAGCAACATCAGGTTCAGGTTTTTCGGGCACATCTTTCATTTTTTCAGGGGTTTTATCAATAACACTTTCTAATAAGTTAGGGTTGGAGCCGCTTATACTGTAACTTCCGCTGGAACTACTTTTCAGACTTGTAGTGTCTCGTTTAGGAAGAACCTATTTGCAATTTTTCATGTTACAATACCCATGTATACCATTAAAAAATATTCAATAAAGTAATTGAAACGACTATACTCACGGGTCTAGGTGAAACTTCATCTTTTACTTTAATACTTTCAGTCTTATTTTTTCTCATATATTCAACAGATTGATTTATTTCTGCTTTGACTTCGATTCTTTCTACTGAAGGCTTAAGTTTTCTATCTGATAGCGGTAGTGGTGGAGAAGACAAATTTGGTACTATGAAATCTTCACTTATTTCTAAAGATGGTGAAAAACTTGGTACAATTAAATCCTCTGCGATATTATCTGTTTTTGTTGACGAGTACAAGCTTGATGCACTTTCAAACGAAGATCCTTCCTGAGCTTTATTGTTATTTTCAAAACCTACAAAAAATAAGTATTATTAACAAAATAACGTTACTATATGTTATCAAAAGTTGAATACTTACTATGGTTTTGATTTTTACTGTTGCTTTTCTTTGAACTATCTGAATTAGCTGTAACATAATCTTCTGTAGTCGTGGTACTCTCTGATACATCGGTATTTAGTTTCCCGGAATCAGTTCTTGCTAGACTTGTATCGCTACTGCCAGTTTTAGCCAAAGCGGGCTCGGGTGGCGTTTGGACGTTTTGATTTGGTATAGTGCCATTAGGTTCCTTTTGCTGCGCTTTCCGTAAATCTTGTCTTCTGGATGGACTTAACGCTCTTTCTCTTTTCTTGTTTATAAAACTTGGTGTCCGTTTAAAGGGAACATCACTTAAATCTAAACTCGGATGTGTAATTGCGATAGCTGGAGTGTGATTCAGTTTTGCATGTGCTAATGGTGATGTTTTTGATATTGTCGGTTGTTTTGTTATGGGTAACATTGGAAGAGGAATGTTTGGAACGACTGCTGGTGGCGAAAGAGATGGCCTCATCTGCGATAACGAACTAGAACTTGGCATGTCCAATTTATTCCTTGGAGAAGTGGGCGATTGACTCTGAAACATAAAAGTATAATTTACACTACAAATTAATATCGTTATTAAAATTTTAAAATCTTCGTAAATAAACCTGTGAAGCATCAAATTCTTCATCTAGGGCGTCTGTGTCTAATGAAGATCTCTGTTGGTGTTGCAATAATAATAATTGCTTTCTTCGTGACGTTGGAGTTAGTAAAGCGAGTGCTCCCGGTGAGGCGGCTAAGGAACTAAGATCAGAAGAACTGTAATTGGAAATATGATGTTACAGAACTTATAATAGCATAATACTTCTAAAGTATATATTCTAAAATATTTACTTGTGTATTATTTACCTGATTACAGTGCCGTTATCAGTCCCAGAATCTATTTGTAAAACAGTAGTCTGTGATTCATTCCATAAACCATCTGAATGATCTCTATAATAAAATATTTACTGTTTATTTGCTTTTCAATAAATTAATTTTAATATTGGATTATACCGTACTTTTTTACCTAAAACAACTACTATACCATACCTGCTATGATCAACTGTCAGGGATTCATTAGATGCAGATGGTGAATTCTTTTCTAAGGGAGCAAGAATTGTTGTAACATTATTTAAAATAGGCGTGCGATTTTCTTTCGGTGTTTCTTGTAGCTCACGTTGTTCTGTTTCTGGAGATGTGGGGCTAGATTTGGCCGTACTGTAAATGATATACAAAGATAAATGCAATTACTGTATAAAATATTTTATATAAAATGAGATCTAGTAAGAGTTACCGTTATGATTGAATTAAATGAAATCCAAACGTGAATAAAGCCAGCTTAGCAATAACATAGGAAGCGTAAAGGTTACTCTTTAAATCAAAGCTAGCATTCACAGATTATACCGACCTGTCTTCTGGAAGTTCCCCTTTATCAATAGTTTCAGTTTTGTCTTCAAAGCTTACGCTTCGAATTCTAAATGATTCATGCTTGTAACTAATATATTTTTCATGAAAGTCTTCATATGGAGCATTGCCTTCTGAAGAACTAAGAAGAGAATTACATGAATGAAAAATAAAGCAAGCGTAAGAATTAACATTACGTAGCTTGAAGTGGTTACTATGCTCGCGCTAAAGCTTGTACTTTCAATCAATTAGGTTTTATTATTTACAGGCATTTGATGTCTTCAATGTGATTTTACAAAAGATTAAATTACGTGCAAAGTGTTTTTGAGTGCATCTTAAGCTCAAAGTAGAAGAAACTTAATCTAATTTTACCTAAAAGAACCATCGGGCTCGAAAGGAAAGATTCCTTCGTCTTTTATAGGAGTTTCGCTATAATTTTGAGCTATGTACTTTTTATACATGGCTTCCCTTTCTCGGTCCTCTCTTGTCATGTTTTCTTGGCTTGTTGACATTACAATTGGAGCATCTTTAGCTTCTCCCGCAGACGAAATTTCTGTTTTTCTCCTGAAAAAAGATCTTTCAGTATATAGGTTAGACTTATCTCAAACGTTTTTATGATATTTAATACGTACGCATCTAATAAAATTTCCCCTTCTGATAAAGTTTTTTGTAATATCCTTTTATTTTTTCTTCGAAGCGTAGTAAAGGGAATCGCTTCATCGTCGGGTCTAGGTTCAAAATCAATTATAATTTCCCTTTCATTTTTTTCGCTATCATCGGTTGTTGTGGCCGACGTTTCAGTTGATGGCTCTGATTGAAAAGTCGATGTCTTAGATAAAGGATGCGATGAGTTAATTGTCTTTTGCGAAGCATCACTTGTGCTTTTAGAAAGAATAGATCGTAAAGATTTGTCAATTTTTGCTTGTTTTGCTATTTCTTGTTGTAAATATTCTAAATTTCTACGATTTAAAGCCATACTCTTTTCTATGTTTTCGATGTCATCATCAATAGTGTCGTCTCTATCACTCTCGTGAATGAACTGAAAGTTCTGTTGGAAGTATTCTTGTGCTTGTTTTTGAAGCGCGCTTAGTTCTGAGGATTTATCTACTTGCGACGAGGCCATGGATTTAATGGAACAGGATGTGACGTCATCTGAGTCTCCTCTTTGTAGTGGTGAAGAAGGTTTTGTCATTGTGGGTGACCGAGGAGAACGTGGTGGTTCTTCGGATTGCGTTCTGTGTAACTTTTCATGATCACCAGAAATTATACTGTAAATTAAGAGTGGTATATTTGAAAACTTTAATATGTTTTATATGTTATTGCATATGAAACACAAAAATACGTCTATAGTTTACGCGAGTAGTACACCATTTAAAAACCTTAAGGTTAAACAGTCTCCCCGGTCAGCCGAAACCGGAATAAAAATATTTAAAAGTTAATATATCGCTTAAACGTAAAGTGTTTTATTTAAATGAGCACTATATAATTTAAAAATTGAAAATAAATTAAAAACAAATTGTTTTCGACTTATGCAGGACTTGAGCCGGCATCGTTAGTGTTCCGTGCATTTGCTCTACCAATTGAGCTACCGAGTCGACTCGGTAACTCAATTGGTGACTCGGTAACTCCAGTCGAGTCGAAAATTGTTTCAATTTATTTTAGATTTTTAAATTAAGAATGGTATATTTTAAGTATTACGAGTACGAAAAAAAATAATAAAACAATGCGACATTTTTCTTTTTACCTCTCAATAACTGCAGCAACTTCGTCATGGTTTCCTGCCAAACGATCTCCTCCCACTTCCGAAAACGATTTCGTTAATCTTCGAACGCCAACAGTTATTCCATTAGTTTGTACCCCGGCCGCGACCATTTTAACCTGGAAAATAAATAATTAATTTTTTATTGTTATATTTATTTTATGTATGTATACCGTACTTTTACATACGGTAATAAATGATTTTAGTAGCTTTTGTTACCTCAAATTTAATATAGTTTTTTCTTTACTATAAACATAAATTAGTTACCCTTTTTATTGTGCGTGGACTCAATGATAAGTAGTTCGTGTTTTTCTTCCCTAAGCTAGCTTCTGTTTGCGTGGCTTGTGTTCGCATCACACCTTTTTTTATTGTGTCTGCCAAAAAAAATAATAGAGTAATTCTAATTACGAAAACGTTACTATTTTTTTACATATTGCACGTGTTGTCAATACAAGTATATACATATACATTTAGATACAAAAAAAATGTTGTCTATTTATCGGGTTATAAGGAGATAATAAAAATGATGATTGTATTATTATATTAGGGTCTAATTTAATGCGGGAAAGGAACACGGATCGTCTCCACCACCGTGGAGTTCGTGTCTATAAATCCCTGGCATTTACACTTGTCCTTCTATTAGCTCCAAGCTATGTTATATAATTTGCTGCATTTTGTAATTTTTTTTAAGGTGACAAAGACAGCGTTGGTATAAATATTTTTCATGAAAATTTAGAATGTTAAAACTGTAAGACATTGTATTTTAATTTGTGAATTATATTGGAAAATAAAAAAATGATGTTATTGCTTCTTCATAAAATTAAAGTAATATATCTAAATCCTAGCTTGAACTTACCTAATACAACAACTTTAGCAGGTTCAGTCTGTGTAGGTCTAGGCAACGCGGTGGCAGGATGTGGAGCGTGGATTTGCGTGGGCATAGGCCCCACTGGAGGGTAGTGAACCGGCGCCGGGGCAACGAATTGAGGGTAGGGCGAAAACGGCTGAAACATTATTGGCAGGGTTGCGTACGCTTTGTTCTCAGGCTGTAAAGATAAAAACTTTATTATTTACTTAACAATCATACAACGTATAAATAAGGTATATGTTTTTTCTGACCTAGTATAATAAAAAAAAAATTATTTTCGATTATGGTTTAATAATTATGTCACTTTCATTATTTTGATCCTGGAATATTTTCTAAGACTTATAAGTTTTAATAGATTGGTAGTCGTTCTGTAGCTGAAATGTTACTTGTAAAACTTTGTTTATTTTTTTTCCTAAATGCTCCTTTGAGAACCGACCAGGTCAAAAATATCTCAGAGGAATTTGAATTAATCAATTTCTTGTTTTTCAAAGTAGATATAAGTTATAATTAAAGATCTTAGATGTTTGATTTATTCCGTAGTTCTTTAAGGAGATTTTTTCGACAGGTATTTCTATCTACTAACCTTAACAACACGGCCATCGATCAGCCTCTCGCAGTTCCTGAAACGGTTTCCGGCGACGGCCGCGGGCATAACAGAGTCGTCGAAGGTAGTCAGAGTATGTGAGCGAGCGAACGAGACGTGTTTTGTTCTGAAAGATAAAAAAAATATTGCTTTGTAGTATTAGCTTTTTTTTTTAATGATAGAGAAGGACAGACAACCTTGGAGTTAACTTGATGGTAGGTAAATCAAAACAAGATACGCTGTCGACCAGTTTTGGTTTTAGATATTCGGAAATCCGCAGACTAAAACCGATATGTGATTAAACTTCACGGCTTTTGCACATGAAGGCACTATATAATTTAAAAATCGAAAATAAATTGAATCCTACTACTCGTGGACACACGAGTAAGACTCGGTAGCTCAATTGGTAGAGCAACAGCACGGAACGCTGACGATGCCGGCTCAAGTCCTGCCCGAGTCGAAAATTTTTTCGATTTTTAAATTAAGAAGACATTGATCGAAAGATTTTTTTCTGGAAAATATTGGACGTCTCGTAATCTGAATATTAAATGAGTGGTAAGAATATCGAATTTTAGTTCGGGGTTACGAACCACCGTCCACAGATGATGACGTTTAATCGCGTTTCGGATAGCCTCATGTTTAAATGTTAAGCGGCTTGAGTATTTCACCTTACATAATGTGAATGTGTTGCTTGTCTATCTTAAAAAATATATTAAAGTTTATATTATCAATTGAATCCAATTAAATTTTGAAATCCACATTTTGTGAATGATGCTTTTAAATCGTATTAAGCTATTGTGATAAGCTTAGATTTTTGAGCTGTTTCAAAATCGTATTGGAGAAATGGTTCTCGACGTTTCACTATTTCAAGTGGATGACATCATCAAGTGTAGCGCGTTCCTTAACTAAGCGAAAACTAACTTAACTAAGAAAAACGACCAATCACTTCAAATGATATATTACTAAATGGAGGTTTGTGCAATGCAATACATTACCTGTGAGGTGGTATTGTGGGTGGTGGCGGTGGAGGTGGTGGTATTGGTGTGTGGGCAGGGCAACTGGAACATTGCAACACTATTGTATTATCTGTAGACTACGACGAAGAGGATGGCAGAGATGTATGATTATTTTGATATAAACATTTACTAATATTCTATTCAATTATAGAAGAAATATTATAATTGAGTGTAAACGCGATGATACCAATTAAAAAATTCTTTCAAACGGTTTAAAACGACATATATTAGATAACTACAATTTTTCAAATGCTTTGCAGGAGCTGTGGGCACGAGGCGGCTGAAGTAAGAGGGTGCCCTTAATGTAAACTCAAGTCAACGAAACATATGGCACTGGCTATTCATTTTTAAATCATTAAAAGTAATTTATTTAAATAAATATTAATTTTTTCTTTGTATAAAGAACTGAGAACCCAACTCTTATTTATTTATATTATATCTTATCCATTTAAGAATTTCGCTAGTCTTAAAAAGTCATTTATTTAAAAAACGCAACAGAGGCTTTATATAAATTTAATTGGTAATATAATATACACATATTATATTTATAATTTGCTAGAACAATAGATTTCCCAAGATTGGCATGACAGCGTCATTGGAGCTAGCCATGAGTACAGCTGGCTTGATACATTGCTCTGTGGATGGTTCATTAGGTTTGATTAGAGATTATAATACCTCAAAGGACGTATACAATACCTAGATTAGTATTTGCTTACGGTAATTACGATGAGCTCCTGTAATACAAGTATGTAGTTAGAGGTATTTATATTATTGCTTTATAATAAAAATAAAATGGTATATAGAAGCTTGCTTTTTGATCCATATCTAGTACTATGCAATTTTTTTATATTTTATATTAAAGTTTAAAAAACAATTCTTTTTCACCTTTTGGTGCTTTGAAAAAGTGTAGAGGATAAATTGGGTTCACTACTTCCAAATTCTAACTTCTAAAAAAAACATATTTACTCAAATACAGAGCTTATAAAACAAATATTTAAAACAAATCCATCTCCATCTTAAGTATGGTACATCAATTGATACTACAACAGCGCGGAATGCTGAGCTCGTCTGCGTTTTCAGGTTTGAATCCCGCCCATGCCATCTAAATGTTTTGTACTTTTAAAAACGGCTGATTTCTAAAGATGACGTAATATCTCTACGATGCGGTCAAAGGAAGAAAGCGACCGCATTAACCGCTAATTATGAAAAGGGTACAATCGACGCAGGCTTTGTTAGAATAGAGGTTGTAATGGATAAATGAAGTGCTTGAACTCATAAACGAGAGTGCGGATGGAACTAAGTATATTGCGTAAAAGGTAGATGAAACAATTTCTATATAGAATTTTATAAGTTAACTAATATATTACGCGATTGAAATTATTGAGAGATTTTTATTTATGTAACTTTTTTTCTTCTAGTTATATAAAGAACTTCGAACACAAGTATTTCTTCAAATTACGAATTTCTGCAGTTTTATTCTATTTATCTACATAATCGGTCATATTATAAACTATATATCTATTTCTTTGTTATTAAAGTACGTTTTTACGCATACATAGATGAAAGTGCCATAAATTATATTAAATAAATAAAACACTTTAACGGTTTAAAACGCGATATATTCGTTAAACTTATTTGAAAATATTTTTTTTATTTAAAAAAAATAGTTTTTTCGGATTCTTTGCAGCAGCCGTGATCACGGGGGATTTATCGCGTTTTAAACTGTTAAAGTGTTTTATTTAAATGTTTACTACTCGCGTAAATTATTGGCAGTTTTTTTTTTATATTAAATAAGCTAATTTAAAATAATATACATCTTCAGAGATTGGAAATGTCAGCAAGATTACAAAATGTAATAAACTTCTAACTTTCAGTCGGGATTCACTTATTGAACTTTTTCACGCTCGAGTAATATTTACTCAAGTCTGACTTCACACCTATCATTTGCGAAGTTATTTCGCTTCGGAAGGGAACTTGTATATTGATTTCATTATAAACGAGTACGTTATATTTTTCAAAACTCTGTATCATCTATACTTGTATTGTAAAACTGAATAGTTTATTTGTTTGAGTGTTTGAACGCGTTAATCTCAGGTTTGTATTTGTTTGTTAGTTAGAGCGTTTATTTAGGAAGGCTTGCGGCTATTAAAAGACAGACTGCGACGAATAGAAGAGAATAAACAGAGTCGTCTTTAAACAGTCTAAAAAATCTGTGACAAACACGAACAAGAACAGTTATATGGTAATTGAATACGGTCTACTTCAGATACCTGGCAAAAGAAAGAAAGGTCAGCTATATAAATTAGATAAATTATTCTAAAATTTAAATAAGCGTATGAAGAAATAAGTATATTTATTAAAAAGACGCAATATGTTTTAAGTTTTTATACTATACATTTTTATTTTTAATATTACTTTGTATTATGATTGTAAAATAAAGTTATTTAGGATTTTATTTAAACCTTAAATGTATTTATGTATTGAAGCACTGTTACGATATTATAGGCATTTTTTCGATATTTACACATAATTATGGTAAATCTAACAAAGAGATAAATCATTTAACAATGAATTCTTACTTAAAAGAATTTTAGGCCACTTAAACTATGTTCAAAGCACACTCACTTTGCTCACACAACACTCACGTTACTTACAGGTATACCAAAGAGGAAAACGATAAAAATACTTACGGGATTATCGAAGGGGGGCGAGGTAAGGACCCACCCCGGCTGACAGAGGCGATTTGCTCGACACTGTAATTTTGCGGCCACCCCGCGTTATCTTCTATTACCGACCTGAAAAGTTTAGTTTCAACTTGAAGTTGGTACGTTTAATTGTGGTTGTTAAATGTTGTACGCGCGACAAGAATTTTTGCTATACACATTTCAAAGAACGTTCACGAAACCTATGCGAACAAAATGAGATCAAAAACATACTCTATATTATGAACTGCGCCGGAGTTTAAGGAAATTTAATCAAAAAGTATTACTTGCATCAGTCCCGGGGCAAACAGTTTTAGTTAATTGGTTAATTTAGGTTATAGTAGTAGTAGAGTGATCCATGGAATATATAAACCGCCGCGCGGTTTTCATGCCCCGCTAACATATGGACAAATATTGTAAAAAAAGAAAATAAATGAAAAACAAAAAAAAAATTATGTAGCAGCATTTATTATAAATATTAAGTTATATGCTAACGAGTGATCTATGGCGTAAAAACACTGCTGCGTGGTTTTCATGCCCGGCGAAATAATGTATAAAATGGATAAAAAAAATAAGAATAAATGAATAAATAAAAAAAATAACACTGTAAAGTTTTTACTTTTCACATTAAAAAAAAAATACTACACGAACGGGATTAGACCTCCAATCACGAAACTTGAATGACAGTCGAAGTTTGATTCCCGCCCGTGTAATATTTTTATATCAAAAATTTTTTAAATCAAACTCTTTTAACGTTTTAAAACGTTGACTATATTAGTGTTCTATTGAAAATTCTTCTCCGTAGTTAAAGAAATAGTAAATAAGTTGACGGATTTATTTCCCGAAATAATTTACTTGAACTAGAGGCACAAATAAGTCAAAATAAAAAAGACGCAAACAATATTCTTCATAACAACTTCTTCAACTTGTAAGTAAATAACTTTGTTGTTCGAATATTGCCGTTACCAATTGAATAACTCAGACTCGACTGGGAAACAAACAATCCTTATTTCGTTAAGAGAACTTCGTAATGAACCTGCTTCAAACAGCTAACGATACGTATGGAAGATTTTCTATCGCTCAAAAACGTAGAGGTGACCGAAGGTTCGGCTTCGGGTAAAAACCACAAAGCAAAGATGTCGGAAAATCAACTGAAGGTTTCTGAAAAACTATTATTTAAAAAACGTGATTTCCGTGAATTGAACTAATTAATTTACTTATACTTTGCCTAATTTTAAGTATATTATAAAGTACATTACTAAATAATTGAGGGGAAACGACAAGACCACATCGTTGATGCAAGAGTTAATCACAAGAACACACAATCAAATTAATCTACCATGGGACACTAAATTACATTTTGCAAACCGAAACTATAGTGGAATGAAAAACTTGACCACATCCAATAATGAGATAGATATATAGGGGAACAGACAGAGAGGAAGATACAGAATCACAGGGTTCACTTGTTGATAGTGTAATAAATACCCAAGCCATATAAAATTTCAACAAGATGCGCTGTCGAACTTGGCTTTGGATTTTTGGAAATCCAAAGGCTAACACCCAAACGCGATTACCGGCTTTTCATCCGTGGAAATTGGTTTGTGCCCCAAATAGAATTTTGATATTCCTACCACCCATTTATAATTCCAAGACGAAGGACGAACACGCTTCAGAAAATTTTTAAATTGATGAGAAACATGTTCGACTCGAACTTCGAAAGTCAATTATTTAATTCTATGCATTGAATTCAGTTCCTCATAGGTTAACAATTTGATCGTCGCCTTTCTTTTTACACTTTAGTTTGTATGAATGAACTGCTTCTATACCTATCGCCGTGTTCAAATCAATTATCTTCTTCAAACATCGGCGCAATGTAGATTTGAACATTAAGTACAATTTGTGGGACCTAATAAGATCTTTATTAGGGGTTTAAAGAAAATGCTCCCCAATTAATTGCGACTTAAGATCCATTATGAGTTAAGCGGATAATTTAATTAAAATAATAGATTTAAACTTAACTGTGAAAGTCAGTTTATGACGATGTCGTTAAGTGAAGAAATGTTAAGCTTAGAATTTATTGAGGATCCAATTTTCACGACAACCTAAACAAATAGAGGGCGGAATGTTTTCAGAAATGTTATTTTCTATCGTTTTACTGTAGCGTAATTTCTTTGGAATTAGAATTCATTTGAATTTTTTATCCGTTCTCAACATCATTCAAGTCATTCTTTATAATTATATTTTTTTTCTCGTGATATATTATCTTTCTCCGTACTTATTTACCTATAGTTTAAGAATAATTATGAACTTACTGTGGCCACTCCATCCGGGTGAAGTCTTCATCCTCAGGCATCCACGTGTACCGTTTGGGGTCAGGTTGGCTGCAAACGGAGCGGGGTCTCCGGCGAAAGTACGAGCATTCCAGGTCTGCATCATGTGCGCACACCTCGGCTGGTGGTGGAGCTGGTTGCCCGAACCTTGGCGATATTGGACTGATATTAGTAGCATGAAAGGTGTAAAGACACGAAATTTACTGGATTTCTATTATCATTTAAGCGACATAATTAAACTAAACTATTAAATTAACCTTCTTCCCTGCCTTATGTTCCTTTTTGAGCAATCCTAATTGTTTTATTTATTCTGTTCTACTTGTGAATTTATTTTCTTTCATTTTATTATTGTTGTAATTTTAATTTCGCATTATTTAATAGACCTTTCGGCAGACTGAAAAACAGCGCTTTTACCTCGGATAGCGTTGTATGGGCGCATAATCGGTATTGAGGTTCTCATCGGAGGGCACTCGACGACGGACACAGACGGATAAAAATGACGCTCTGGAAGTAGAAACCATTCATAAATTAATCCTCACTCAGACAGGTTCGTTCTTGCAACAGAAATGTATGACTAATAATTCTAAACTCTCTACTTCTGGAAAATCTAGACCAAAAATGGGCGGTAGGAATATTTAATAGCTTCCGTGTCACAAACCACCCTCAAATGAAGCTATTAATTCTAAATTCACGTTTCGGTTTCAGTCAGATTACTGAATCTCCAAAGCCAAAATAGGTCAGCGGCACATCAATTTTATATGTCATATAACTGGAATTCACTTGATGAAGGTGTAACACCTTACATTGAGTGAATGCTTGTTTATGCTGTACGGTCATAAATACACTCGATAATAGAATCTCCTTATCAATTAATGTTTCCACAATATGGTATTGCGGAAACATTAATTGCAAAAACAGTATCGACCTTTTTTCTAGACATTTTTTATAATTAGTTCATAGTATTCATTGACGCGGATATATGCTTTGACAGTTAAGAATTATCTGTAGTTTGCACGAATACTACACATTACATACAACGTTTAAATAAAATACTTTATTATCGGTTTTAAATGCGAATATATCAGTTAACTTACTTTAAAATTTTAACTATGTTCAAATGTTTCGGATGCTTTGCAGTAGCCGTGGTCGTACCGTGGTAACGTTGGAACTGACGATGGAGAGTGTCCCTAATGTCAAAGTCAAGTCAATAAATGTCAAAGATGGCGCTAACGTAGAAGTTTTCACTTTGACATTAGGGACACCCACCATCTTCAGTTCTACCACGACCATGGCTGCTGCAATGAAAGGAAATGTCAGACCGAAGTTAAAATAAATTGTAATTTAGGGTTTAAACCCGTTAAATGTGTTTTATTGAAACATTAACAGTTTCTAAGGGAACATTTAATTTCCGTCCTTACTCCGAATCATCAACTTACGAATAGCTTAACATATCCCATCGTCCTTTGCCCGGGGTGAGGCGTAACTAATACTGTTTATACTTAGGAGGGCACAACATAATAAAATAGTCAATTTGTTACGCAAACGGTCCCCGAGAGAGACGCCTCTTAAGTTAATCCGTTTAGAGAACCACGGAAGAGAAAATCAACGTCGTAATTGAATGACAATAACGATATTGCTACAATTATCGTGTCTAAATAAGGAGAGACATAATTTGATGTCGTTTAATTATAATATACATTAATGTGTGTTTGATGTTTTTTTTATGTCATCGAATATAGTTAATTGCGAGCGAGGGAACGAGGCGTGTTTTGTTTTGTCTATAGTCTATCTTTTTACTGAAAGAGGAGGACAGATATGCATGGAGTTCACGTGATAGAAGGTGAAATATCCCAGCCCATAGCATCTAAAGAAGATGCGCCGTCGATCTATTTTGGCTTTGGATACCCGGACATCCACAGACTGCGGCAACGCGATTGAACTTCACTATTTCATCTGTGGACGGTGGTTTGAGACCCGGACGGAATCACAATGGTCCTACCGCCCATTTAATATTCAGATTCCCAGATGTAGCCCAACATGTTTCAGTAAAATTATAAATTGATTAAAACGACATTTGGATCTGGTGGGAGTCGAACCCACGACCCGTTGATTACCAAGGAGCCCGTCAAAAATAAGATAGGTAGGTAGGTAGGTTCAAAGATTTAAGTGTACAAAGGGACAGAAAAAGCGACTTTGTTTTATAATATACTAGCTGTGCCCGCGACGGCGTCCGCGTGGAATGTGACTTGGGGTAGAATTTTTAATTATTTAGGCTGTTTATTATTTTATGTAAGGACGCAATTAAGGCAGCCAATCTAAGTTGTAAATGCTACTTTGTCGCAACACTCTCACACCTACCTCACATCACTCCTACTCTAACTCCCACCCCCACTCCCACTCCCACCCCCACTCCTATTCCCAAAAACCCAAAGAAGAAGTTTCATTGTTTTAGCTTCAAAATCCACGAATTGCCATACAAACTGCCATCCCCCTTTTCAACCCTTATTAGGCATTAAAAAATTAGCCTATGTCCTTTTTCAGGCTTTAAAATATCTGTGTACCAAAATTAATTTAAATCAGTTCAGTACTTTTGGAGTTAAAGCCGGACAGACATACAGATAGGCAGACAAACAGAGTTACTTTCGCATTTATAATATTAGTATAGAAATATATATAGTGATTTGACATTGTTTTATTTACATTCGCGTGAAGTACAGACTATACAATACAATAACTTTATAAACAAAGATAGAATCTGTAATTCCATACAATTGCCTATACAGTAAGAATATTTATCTATCGCTGACAGCTCGAATACAGTTAGCGAAGGGATTTGTTGTTGACTTGAGAGTCATAATTTTTGCTGTTCCCCGAAAACAGAAGTGTGAATAAGTTCATACTTTATGCATGGGCGGAGCCCTGATAGGACTCGAGGGATGACCCGGGAAACGGGAATGGATTTGAACTTCCTCCCATAACTATTGGCTTTCATGAGAGTTATTTGGTGTTAGTTCCGTTCACTCATATTTAAAAATTTATAAAGCTGAATAGTTTGTTTGTTTGAACGCCATCATCTCAAGATCTACGATTTGAAAAATTGTTTTTATGTTAGTTAGACCATTAATCAAGGAAGGCTTAAGGCTATAAAACATCTTACTACGCGGTTTTAATTGAAAAGGAAGAGTTTTATGTATGTAATTAATTAATTATACCAAATATGTTTTAATCTTTGCACTTTTAGTTTAATTCTACCAATTTCAAGCATTTCGGATGTTTTAAGCTGCCATAGCTACGGAGGACACTCCAGTGGATGGTTGTAAAAAAATTAAAAAAATTTGGGTTTTAAACCGTTTAAAAATTTTTTATCTTAAATGTGTACTTTTCGCGTCAGTGTCACATTATTCGTTTCCCCGAAATTTGAACCCTGAACGAAATTTAAATAAAATACATCTAATAAACATACATATATATTTTAAATAGTCATTTAAAGGTTTAACATTTGCTTTCTAAGAAATTCCCTTACAGTGATATCTATAAAACTAATTCTTACGACGTAACGAATATTTCATGGGACGAACTTAATCCATCCATTATTTGTTTAACGAATTAATCTTGATCCCCCTGATTAAACAATTTACGACGAACATAAGTCTACGCAGTTTTGGAAGGGAAATTAATGTGTTCAATTAGTGCAAATGTCTCGCTCGTAGGCTTAATCGCGATCCAAATATACCTAGTATTGAGTAAGACTATTTTTCAAACGGACTCAAAATTATATTTAAAAGGTTTGGGGTTAACACAATGTGGAGCCATCTTTAAAAGATTTCTTTTAAAAGCATTCTAAATTTAAATTTAATAAATAATGCACTATATAAATCAAAATTCGATTTTTATTATATTCGATTTTATTTATTCGATTTCGACTGTTTTCCTTCCGTGCTATTGCTTCTAATTGAGCTACCGTGTCCTGCACGTCGTAGTCGAATTATTTCAACCTTTTGATGGTTAAAAAAAAGTAATCAAAAATCGATTTTTTAATTATATAATGCCATCACGTGCAATAACACGTAATTTTCAAAATTCAAATATTTCACCGTTGCCACTTAAACTATGCTTAAAAAGCAGCGACTCTTCATTGGTTTTTAATTAAACAGGCTTTAATTACTATTTCACGTTATATTATGATCAGCAAAAATTGTCGACGTACATAAATGGTAATATGTGGCGATCACTAACCTGTACTTAAAATTAAACAGTTACCTGTTAGTTCTCGAGCAGGGGCTCTCAATGTGGTATTGTGACAGACATCCAAGGAATCGGTCCTTCTTGGACTTCTCCAGTTCCAGCAGGTCCAGTTGTTTGTTGTTGATACAGTACTGCTCTCGGAACTCCTATATATTAAACTTGCGTTACATAACGTTAGTATCCTTCATTAGTTACATGGGGAATAACTTAACAAATGAGGAAATAAACATTTTAGTATGTTACAGCTCAATATAGCGACCATGATTATAATTTAGGTTCAATAGGCTATTTAAAATTAATATTACGAGGGAATAAGCAGAGTTGAGAAAAAAAATCAATGTACAACCGTATCTATTTAAAATTGAGCCAGCGTAGTTCAGTAAAAAAATTATCTTCAAAGTGTAACAAAAAGTGTTACAGCTAAATTTAGATATTACGAATTTCTATAAAATTTTTTAGACTCTATATTAACTTACAAACATAAGCAATAAAAAAATTTTCGTAATAAAATAAGGTTGTGATTTTATTTCTACTCTATTATAAACATTCTCTTTTTCATATCTTTTTTTCTATATAAAAGTCTAACAACGCTAGTGAAATTAAAAAAATTCTAGATTCCTCCCCACAGCACATCGATCAAGTGTGATAAAATCGCAGTCTTTATGAAGCCGAAGAAATTGCTTCGCTACAATAGTGATTGAGGATCGCTGTGGAACCCGGGACCATTTATTTATGTTGCTTTTCCAAGAGTTTCTATCTATACTACGTATATATATGTTCAGACATATTACAGCAGCTTTTCTCTTTATAAAACCGTCGTATAGTCTAGAAATTCGCTGATGTTCGTCTGTTTATAAGAGATTGATTGTCTTCGATGTTCATAAAGAATAAACGTGTTCCGTCTTCGTAGCCATTAAAATAATGTCGACATCACTATAATATGACTACAGGATCGTTGGTCTAACTCTAAATTGATGATAATCAACGCGTGGTAGATTCGATCCCCACCGAGTCAAACATTTTCATTTTTAATTTTTCTATAAAATGTTCTACTTGGTCAGGAAAAGCTGGATGAAGCACGATCAACAGATTAAATAAGTCAACAGTGTATCTTGTTCTGAATGTTACTAAGTGACTATCCATTGACCTTCCAACCGTTAAACATTATGCTTGTCTGTCCTGATCAATTACAAAAAAACAAAATAAGAACAAAAACGTCGCAAGAAGTATGTGTGTATGTATAATTTAAAAATTAAGTTTATTTTTAGAGTGATAGCTAATGAAGGTACGTTAAGTGTTAACATCGAAGATCAAAGATGTGGTACCATTTATTGTAATGAGAGACAAGTAGGGACTTTACTTGATGGTACGCGAAATATACCAGCCTATAGCGTGCCATTGCAGTAACGGTACCACCATTACCTGTTTGGAGTACATTGTCGTTCTGCTGGTCGGCCGGTCGTCGCTGACCCTCTGCCTCTTTCTGCTCGCGTTTTCATCCTCTGATTCGTACCCTTTGGCTGACTGAGCTATGTCTGCCTGAAATTAATTATGCTCTTGTATATAATGTCCATTCTTTATAACTTATACTATCTAGTATTTTGTAACATCAATCTAATTGCCTATTAATGTCTATTTCTCCGTGTAGTTTTAAATATCCAGCTTTTACTCACAAGGAAACCAAAACTCAACGAATTTATAAAAACTGTTTATTTTTGATAATTCTTGAAACTGTATTAACCAATTTAGAGAAAGTCGTATGACTAACACTTTTTATACCTCAAAAACGGCTCAACAAATTTGACTGAAATTAGAAGGGGCGTCAAACCAGGGACAGGAGTTGGGATATGGGATACTTTTTATCACGTAACTGGATACAAGAATAGGATATTTAGGACGAATGATAGGATATAAAACATCAATGATAAATAAAGTCACGAAATGTGGAACGTGGAATAAAAAATTAAAAAAAATATTTTCAACTACTCTCCTGTACTTGCCCAGTTTTTAATATTGTAATTTACAGACAAACAAACTTTCTCCCGGTTAAGTCTGTAGTTTACGCAAGGAGTACACGTTTAAAAAAATCACTTAACGGATAAAAGCGCGAAATATGTTAGTTAACTTATTTACAATATATGAACTACAGATGATTTGTAGGAGGCGTGGTCACGGGGTGTCCGAAGATAGAGTGTGTCGTTTACCGGTATTCTGTTTTTTGGGATACATTTTGCGTTTAAATCCGCTAAGTTTCTTATTTAGATCTGTCGCTGTTTTTGCTTCCTACCTTAAAAAGGTAAGGCACTGACGCTAGTATTACACACATACATTTTCCTATTGTTACACAAATTGTATTAACTAATTTTCAGTTAAAGTTGACGAGTAGGGTGTTATATTGTGGCGGATTACAAAGACAATGTTTCCGCTATCGTGTTTCGAGTATAAGCCTACGGATGATATTATTATCTGTCTAACCCAGTTTGGTTGTGGGTTAATAGCAGGTGGTGTAATTGAATTTTAATAATTAGGAGAATGTATGTGTAACAGTGGAGAGGTTTAGTCTATGCATCTTCTCGTGTTATCGCAAGCCTCCTAAATTTCTGTTATCAGGAAAAATACTTTCAGTGAGAGGTAGTTTCAGTATCTCCAGAGTAAGCTATTAAAATGTTTTATGTGTCTTTATACGACATTGTTCGGGATATTCAACTAGGGCGCTATACGATTAGATTTAACACGAATTATACTCGTAACTATGTTTAAATTATTATCGTAACTATTTTTGAAAGTACTTTTTAAAAAAAGTACCGCGACATATTAATGAAATTCCAAATTAGCTCGACTAAGTACGTATGACCTTAATAACAAACCATTGAAAATATATTTTATTATCTTTAGTTTTCTTTTACCTACGCAATAGTTTTGCATTCGCGCTGCCACTAATATATGGCATAATTACAATTTTTTAAGTTCGTTACAACTTCTTCCCAATATTTACATGTTTTGGTACTACTTGTTATCTGATAGCGACAGACTGAAAATCAGCGCTTGCTAAAGCCTTGCTGAGCACATGCTGAGTCTTGATGCCTTTTAGCACATAGTTAAAATTGTACTTCTTTTTGTATTCTTTTAATTGTAAGGTTTCTTTTTTATTACTTATTTTAATTGTAAATTATATACTTTGTGATAATAAACGGATTATTTATTTATTTAAATGTTGTACTGTCTGTAGTTTACGCGAGTAGTACACATTTAAATAAAACACTTTAACAGCTTAAAACGCGATATATGAGTTAACTTGTTTTTTATTTAATTTAACGACAGTCTTAACATATTATATTTCTTGAGAGCAAGGTAAAAAACGAAACTTTACTATTTTGCCTTTACGAGTTCAAAAATACCCTAATAAATGAACTATACAGTTAACGCAATAGCTTTAAAATATTCATAAAAATTAAAGTTAGACAGGCGGACTTTTAACAGAAGCAAAATGCAAGAGCTCGGCTCCGTTCGCCGTTTAATAAAATTTCCATTTCATTTTCTTGTGAAGCAAAAGCGTTATTTTAATTTGATGAAGTAATTGCGTTTCTAAGACAGAACTAATTGGATATTTTAAAGTCACCTTTTGAACCGTATACTTAACTTTATTCAATAATTTTGCATTTTTATTTACAACTAGCTATGCCAACGATTAACTATATATCTTATGTTCATGCATATGTAAGAGATTATATAATTGAAAAAGTATTTTAGAATGAAAAAACACATTCCGAATTATGTGCTCCAACCACGCTACTGTGTTACATATTATTTGAGTCACGCCCGCATTTTCAAAATAACTTTTAGATTTTTCATCCTAGACGTTCCGCCCTTTCTTTAAAAGGGTGACTGGCGATTTTATTAAGAAAACGCCAAGTCCGTGTTTTATTTGTTCTCTCGGAGACTAAAAGCATTAGCGTCTGCAATTGAATGTCAGGTCACTGCCATCTACATAGATTAGCCTGTGATCTCGTTAAATTGGTTAGTATAGAATAGAAAAGGATAGAACAACGTTTTTATTCAGAAAACAACAATAACGGATATAGTTACGAACATAATATAAGAATTTTAAATATTATATTATAACTAGGTAAAGTAAAATCGTTATTTTTATGCTACCCTTTAATTTTGAACTTTTTAGTTTAACTCAATTTTTTCCTCACTTAATATATCGAATTATCTATTATATTAAAAAGGCTCGTTGATTTAATGGCAGCAATGTATTGCTAATAATCGACGGGTCGTGGGTCCTATCTCGGCGGGTCCAACATTTTAATAATTAATTCAAAATAGTTCTGAAGCATGTTAAAATTCATCTAAGAATCCGGATTTTATATAGGTGTGCTTCTCGAACTATTGACCACAGATGAAAAAGTCGACAAATTTTATTCGCGTTTCGGTTTGAGGCTTTCCGAATATTCAAATCCAAAATAGGTGTAAATAGGTACATAATAGGTTGAGGTTTATCTACCTTCGAGTGTCCTTCTCTATTGTAACACCTTGTTTGACCTATCTTTAACAATTAATGAATTAAAAATCAAATCTTCAATTTAAACCATCTTAATTAAATATTCAAAGTAAATAGTAGTTTATCATTTTGACGTTTAAAGACATAGGAGACAAAATTCTGAACTAAAGCCCTTGAAACTGACGCAAAAAGCACTACTTAGGGTATTGAGTTCAAAACTCAAATAAATAATAACTCCCGGAGGCTGGAAGGTGTATCTCAAATTGCAGTTGGAGAAAGTTTCTCCATTTGCGAGAAAGACTTTGACGTCCTTTGGGTGTGTTTTTCTTACATGATAATGCTTTTAATGTTTTGCATGAATAGTTATACTTACTAATTAAAACACGACAAATTTCTCTACACGCGAAGTTGTTTTCAGAAGTTAGAAACTAACTATATAATTTCCTAGTAAAAATGTTTCTCTGAAAAACGAACTACCCCATGTTTACGGAACGCTTTCAAGCTTCAAGAGAAAACAGTCGAGGGGATGCAATGTAATTAGTTATTTTAGAGAAATGAAATGGGAATAGCGAATTTTAAAAATGTTTGATGTTACTTTTATACAAAGGAGAAAATAACATCTTTAAATAAAATAGCAGTATATTTTATTTCATTTAATTATGTATCATATCAGTAGGTGTTTTTTTTATGAGTCACGGCTTTGAAGCACAGTGTTCTACACGAAAAGTTCTGGATTAATACCCCAGTTAAAATAAGCCAAATATAATAATAAAAATAAAAAGTTCCTCAAAGCTCAAACACTAAGATCCTTAATGGCTTATATATTAACAAGGAAAATTACCGTGACTAGTTAGAATTAACACGCCCCCCAGCTTCAAGCCCCGTGACCCCCGTAACCTTAAAAAATGCCAAATACGAAAATTTTTTACACTTACATGTCTATTGTAAGTATGGATATGCAATATGTATATGAAAAATCATCCGCGCATAAATTACATTGTATGCTACGCGCTGCCTGAATTTGAGCAACTTGAATTGTTTTTCAATTGTGAGAAAGGGATTTATGGGCTTTGTTCTCGTATATATCTTTGTACCTTAATGGTTGTTAGATGGTTTTGCTGCTTTATAAGGAACAAGTTGTTTTAATGTATTTTTTTAATATACGTACTTTTTAATGATAAAGGAGGACACAAAAAAATGGGGGGTTCATATGATGGTACTTGAAATACCCCAGCCTAAAAAGCATCTAAATAAGATTCGCTGTCGACCTATTTTGGCTTTGGATATTCGGAAATCCACAGACTGCAACCGAAACGCGATTCAACTTCGCGGATTTTTCATCTGTGGACGGTGGTTCGAGAGCCGGACGGATTTCGTAATTCCTACCGCCCATTTCTAGACAAAGTCAGAAAAATTATAAATTAAAAAACTGGAAACATGGTAGACTCTAGGCATCGAACCTACGACCTGTTGCTTATTAGCCATACACTGCTACCCGACCAACGGGTCTGTCAAAATTTACATTAAATAAAACTATTTATTTAAATTTATGGTACTAATATTTTGTTATTTGATTTGATTGAACATCACAAAACTATATTTATTTTCTCTACATCTTAGACACAAGTCCCTGTTGGTAAAATAGGACTTAAAAATGAGCCATTTTTGTATTACTTGTGTACAATATAATCAGTACTCATTTAGCTATTTGCAATTAGTAGAATAAGTTTTAACATTTCCGTCCTACGTTACGTTACTTAACCTCACTACAAGTGTATCTTACTTAGGAATAAAATAATTCGCCTCACCTGTGTCGAAACTGAGACACCCGGCCCGCCTGATCCTCCTGAAATGATAAAAAGAAGCACTTAAATTACGAATAATTTTTCAATATCTATTAACAAAAATCAACACTCTTATATGCCAGGCATTGATATAAATGCCTGGTATATAGGATAAAATACAGAACGAGATATAATATATATATATATATATATTAGTATAAAAAAGTGATTTTATCTAGAAAAGAATCCACGATCACAGCATTCCGTATATATTGTTAATCTGCCCAAGAGATATCGACCAACATTATCATCTTAAATCTATGTTATCTAGAGGAAGCTAGAAACAAATAAAAACAACCGGAACAGATGAGATTCTGTAAAAGAACAAAAAGAACTACATCTGTGTCTTTTCAGAAGAAGATACAGTGAGAGTTGGACATAAAAAGGTAAAATGAACAGTAATAATCATTACTTTATATGGACTGATCACTCTTGTTGATAATGAGGAGTTCGAATAAATAGAAGAGAGACTCTTGCTTTTAAAGAGTTATAACCTAGCTTTTGTATCATTGAATATGTTTTTTACATACTCTACCAGCTACCCTAAATGACTGCAATAAAGAAAACTTCGGTGCATCAATTATATGCTCCTCTTTGTTCGATAATGATCGAGTCTAGAAGTTTCGACGGCGACTGGAAAATATTAAGAGGTTTGCGAGTTCAAGACGCGCTTTCATTAAGGTGCTTTATGTTGCAAAGGTAACTTATACTTTGAAATTCGTTTTATAAGAACCTCTTGTAACGCGATATCAAGCGGAAAATTTAGTATAGAAAGTTACATCTTTGTAATAATTATTAGTTACATATTGTAGTTTACGCGTGTTACTTAAATAAAAACGTTTTGTTTAAAACGCAAAATATATTTTTTACTTATTTAACTATGACCCAATTTTTTGATAATTTGCAGTAGTCGTAACGCCTTTTAAACAGTTAAACAGGTTTTACTTAAATAATAGTTATACATATATTCAAACATTTTGTA